TGGAAAGTACCGAGCAGAACCCTTAATCTAGATACCTACAACCTTCTCCATGAGCTTTCTTGCTGCCTAGGCTCTGCACCTGGAAAGCTGTGGTGTAGCCCTGGACCTTTCGTACATGTCGCAGACCGTTCCAGCGCGAGTTTAACCTCAAACCGCGGGACTCCCTAACGCTAAACCCAAACGCTAAACCCCAAAGCCAAAAACCCCAGAGCTCAAGACCAGAGCCCCCAAAACCCGAGAGCCTTGTGAAAACCCAACCTCTACTCTGTAGCTTGGGGCACAGGACCCACAGAACTGGCAAGATGCCTGGACCTCCGTCTGCGCAGGGCATCGATATTGGCGCCCTGGAGCGCAGTTGGTGAAGCTTCAGGGACTTGAAGACCTCGCGCCCTCGACCCCCTACAGGCCTTCTAGCCCTTTCAAGTATGTAGAAGGCAGCAAGTCGTATCATACATACTGCGCCCATTAGCGCAGAGCGAACAGTGTATGCATGTGTGTGCATGCTGCCTGCATGGATGGGTGGAAAGATGGATGCGATAGGCTTGTGGTGACAGGAGTTAAGGGTTTCCGAGTCGACCTGTACACATCTACACGTCATCGAAAGCTCAACGGGCTGTCTTCTGGAGTGACAGTGCCGGACTTCCTCATCGCTTTGTGACTAGCCCGAGAAACAACAAATGCACGCCGAAAGGCCCCAATCCCAAACACGTAAACAGTCGATCCCTTGATCTCGTGAACCCCCGAACCGAGAAGCTCCTAAACCCAGCTCGTCGCTGTTGGTTCCGCCACACGAGCCGACGTTCTCGTCCGCCATACGCGCCGGCGCTATCCTCTTTTGTGTGTACAGTCATACATATAGCTCTGTTTATAGAGGCCTGTTTGAAGTAGCGAAAGGATAAGCAGAAACCCTAAAAGAAATGCCCCAAGCTCAAAGCCATTAACCTGCAGAGTTCAGTCGAAGCCATGATCCCCAATGTGAGAGCTTGATGCGACTGCATGAGGCGGATCTTATGCTTGGGCGTTTAGGGTTTAGGGATGTTGACGAGTGTAAAGTTATGAGACCTCTATTACAGCTCCCTCTACCGTCGCAAACGGCGCATATGCCTCAAGCCTGAGACCTTAAACCGAACATCCAAAGCGAGGCGAGAAACGATGGAGAGACCCGCCGGAAGGCTGGCGGCCCCTTGGCAAGTGCGTTCAAGCCGCGAGGTTTTGGGTCCAAGATGATGCAAATATTGTACTGTAGGCACAACAACGGGGGTGGGGGCCTGGAAAATTAGAGTAGGGTTTCGATTATTGCGGCCCCCGATATTGGATTAGGCTCTCTGGGCACCGGGAGACTCTTGCACTAAAGCCCCCCTTGGGGGGTTGTAGAGCTGAGGATTTCGTAGGTTTAGGGCGTAGGGTCGAGAGTTTTAGCGTGTGGGGCTTAGGGTCTTTAACGTTGAATCCTAGGCCACAAAAAGCTAGAAGAGCTTCAAGCAGGATGTCGTTTAAGTTTCACACCTTTGACAAGAACGTCTCAGTGTTGGAGCTGCGGGGTTTGGATTCCAGCGCCGAGCGTGGTTAGGTTGTTGATTTTTGTTTGGATGATCGAACTTGTGATCTCAGGGGTCCTTCACCACCGTGGCTCGAGGTTTGAGCTTCGTCTCAGTGTCTTCGATTTTCGCGGCTCTGCAAAAGACAAAGCTGGAGAGGGCTCCTGCACTGCTTTGAAACAGACCGAAGCCGAAATTTTTCAACCCCGCCAACTCCGCCCTAGAAAGGTGCGCCGAACCAGACCCCCCTCAGCCCTGAAACCTCGCCCCAAAACCCTTAAGCGGGCTCCTCAAGGACATCCTCGGGGCGAATGGCCTTGCTGACCATCCCTGCGGCATTTGCTATGGCCCCGGAGCAGTTCGAGGAATTCGGTCCATGGATAATGGGAGAGTTCCTGTAAGGGTTACCATAAGAGCTACCCGGGATACCAACAGCTACTTCGACTACTACTACTACTACTACTACTACTACTACTACTACTACTACTACTACTACTACTACTACGACTACTCCTACTACTCCTACTCTTGCTCCTACTCTTACTCCTACTCCTACTCCTATTACTACCACGATGACACCTAGTATCCAGCACCCTTATCTATCTATCTATATATATATATATTTATATTTATATAATATACATATATATGCATGCCACTTAAATTATTTCATTGACTTGTTCATGTTTATACATGTCATATAACTTAGTGTAATGAAAGTTCATAGTGTGTCATATGCTGGCATGCAGCACGTCGCATACTGAAAACAAGATCAAAATGGAATACAGAATGATGCAGCAGAACCTAGGGTAATGTAATTCTAGGGAGCACCGTGCAAAGCATAGTGAAACAAGACATAATAATTGCCAGTACCATGTACATAACGAAATTTCATGTTACTTTATATTACATTCTGCTCAAGTTGTGCAATGCTACATGCAGTCGAGCTATAATATGGGGCATCATATGAACATACAATAAACACCGGTATATTCAACTATGTAGCTGCAAGCATGTCGGAAGTATGGTATAGACAGAAATGAACAAATGTTGTGTGGTTGCAACTGCTGCGTCATCACTACAAGTAGATGGACTTTTTCTGTCGGTGTGACATGCTTGTTGACATCGTTGCCCAGCTGGCCAAAGACAGGGTACAGGGGCCCTTGTTCACTTTGATTCGACGGTGTGGCAGAGTTTGCAAATGTACGACTGATTCGGTGAACAACCGGGAATGTCGGAATGTCGGGAGACCCTATAATCTCGATTCCAAATAATGGGATCCTCAATATGAACGCAAGGGGATCCCTCAGTTTGTGAAACTCAGAAATTACCCCTCATCCGCAACCCCCTTCTAAGATCTTGGAAGAAACCCGATAGAGATTCTTATAGAGAGACGAAGCCCCTTGCTCCCGCCCCACCGCTTAGGTGGCCAGCAGCTTTACGAGCAAGCGGTTCGTGGCCCGTGGCTGGATGGAATGGAGTTTTTCAAAAGATTAACCTTTTCTCGGGCTAGGGTACTCAGCTCGTAGGATATAGGATCTGCATAGGGTTTGCGGTTGAGGCCTCATACGGGATCGGAGTAAGGTTCTGCACGGCTGTACAGGGATAGATACAGTGTTCATGAGGTGTTCTTACTTTCCAGGGATTTCACTGGCAGCTACAAGGTTTTTGCAGGGTTTTGTTGAGTTTGGGGTTCATGGGCAATCCAGCAGCACTAAACCGTACCCCTCAAGACCGAAACCCAGTGCCACAAAACTTAAATTTGCCCAGCGCTTGTCTTTGCACTCGGGAAAATGCATCATGGAGTGAGGCATCTGAGTTGTCTAGGCCATCGCGTTCGTGGGGCTTCCATATAAGTTGGGCCCATGAATAATAGCTCCCTTACCTGAATGAGGATGTGCCTTCAACAAGGGTCTGCACTGCTATTCCAGCAGAGTTTCATGTAGGAAGACCCTCAGCTGTGACAGCTGTGATACACCCCATACCACTTTGGAGGTTCATGGGTAGGCTGGATTGGGGTCCCAAGTCCCATAATCGGAGATATAACTGTAGTTGCCCTGCTTATAACCCTACTTGTAGCTAGCCATGAACCTACAAGCAGGACTGGAGATCTTCGGGACATCGTTTTGGAATTGGGGCGGCGTGTAATGTTTGGGCTTTCCTCAGCCAAAGACACGAGGTCATGCAGGTGTGGTCTTTGGCTTTGAATACTTCTGGCAGGGAAGAGCGACAGCGATTTTGTCGATGCTTGTGTTGCGTGAAGTAGGGTTGGCATATTGGCAAGGGTATACAGGGCTTCTCAAAGCCCCACTTCATATCAATGTAGCCTTTCGTGGGTGTACGGAAGTTTAGGCATCAGGGCCCCTGAATCATGGCAGGGCTTGGGGCTTTTCAAGGTGTCTTGAATTGTCGGATGCATACGTGGGCTTCTAGCCATGTCAGCAAGTACCTAACTCCAAACCTTAAAGACTCCACTCGCCCCTCCACAAAATCAGAAAAACAAGCCCAAACCCTCAACCCTTAGACCCTGAACTCCTTGCGAGGGCTCACTACAAGGCGCTCTACAGCCTTTACAACCTGCCTGCAGGCTGGGATTTGACGGGTTTGGGGTCACAATCTGAGGCTATTGTTCCTACAGGGGTGACTGTGTGTAGGGATAGCGTGCTAAGGACCATGAACCTGAAAGCCGAAGATTTAGTTATGTCGTCGTGTTCAGCTCCGGTATGTGTACACACACACGAATCTATAAATATGAGTATGTATATATATATATATATACATAGAAAACATTGCAAGCAAATATGTTGTGTGTATATGCGCATATGTATATATGGAGCAGGCTTTCTGTACAAGAGGACCCGAGTATTCCAACACTGATCCTTCTGCCCTTCACTGTCTGGACATCGTTAAATGGGACCCCATAGTCTGAGAAAACCCATCTGGCTTGCATTTAAAGATCAGTGCTTGACAACCATTATTTGGGTTTTAGTATCTCAACATACATACTTGCAAAGGTAGATACCTTTGTTTTAGCTTTGTTTCACCGTTATCATTATATAGGTGTTTATCTAATATACCAGCAATACACATTCGCAAGTTTTAGCGCTTGGGCATAAACGCAACAACTCCATGCCCACATGTTCGCTCAGATCGCGAGCGGAGGCTGCAGCTGTGGCACCTGCCTGCTGCCTGAGTTTCAGATAGGCTCAGGGTCGAATGTGGGTCAGTTACCTGTCTAATCTACTGATGAAGAGCGCCCTAGGAAGCCCCAACTCAATCCGAAAGCCCGGAAGCACGGAAGTTTTCCTCACCGAAACTCAACCTAACCCCTGCACCCCCAACCCCAATCACAACAAGCTAAAGTACCCGATGCCTATAAACTCACGACCCAACGTAAAGTCTCGAATCCTCAACCATAACCTCGAAGCCAAAGTTCCTGAACCCAGGTCGAATGGGCAGATCATGTTCGACCACCTCACTGGAGAGATCCGGATGAAGCGCTCCGCTGGTGTGCCGCTGCCCTTCTCTGAGCAGAGAGCTCCTCGGATTGAGTCGTAACTCAAAATATATATGGTTACTATATACAATTATGTACTGTTATCAATTATATTATCTGTGATTATTCTCTGTTATAAGATGAAAGAGGCGTCCAAATTCGGTCATGCCGGTCCCCACACTGAGGAGGCAACTGCGCCAATGCCACTCAGTTCCGGACAACCTTTTTACCCTCCGTTCCAAGCGCCAGGCCAGCCAGGCCAGGCACAGCAACCCTCCCCCTGCCACACACAACCACAACAGCCACCACAGTATGCGCCAGCAGCGGCCCCGTTCCAACCACCGCTTCACCAGTCACAACCACAACAAGCGTCCGCATTCCACACGCCACCCCAACAAGCATCACAGCAAACGCCACAAGCACCCCTCTTCCAGCAACCAACACAGCAGTCACAAGCACAACCACAGCAAACCTCGGCTTTCCACATGCCACCACAACAGCAATCGGCAGCAGCACCCCCATTCCAACCAGCATACACACAGCAACCCTCCCCCTTGCACGCGGCACCGCAACAGCCACCACAGCAATCAGCAGCAGCACCCCCATTCCAACAACCACCACACCAGTCACAGCAAGCAGAGGCAGCAGCCGCCACCTTCCAACCACCAGCACAAACACAGCAACCCGCCCCAATCCACACGCCGCCACAAGAGCTACCACGGCAGGCAGCAGCAGCGCCCCCTCTCCACTACCAACCACTTCACCAGTCACAACCACAACAAACCTTCCCGTTCCAAGCGCCACCACAACAACCTTCACATGCGATACCACAACAGCCGCCACAGCAAACAGCGGCAGCAGCACCCCTGTTCCAACAACCGCCACAGGAAGCGGAAGCAGCCGCCGGCCCCTTCCAACCACCACAGCAAACCTCCCCATTCCATGCGCCACCACAACAGCCACCACAGCAAGCGGCAGCAGAGGCCAACTTCCATCAAGCTCCACACCCGTCGCAGCGAGCAGAAGCGTGCGCCGACCCCTCCCAAACGCCGCCACAACGGCAAGCAGAGACCTGCCCCTACCCACCCGGCCCCGAGCGCGAAGCACAGCAAGAGCCCCCAAAGCCAGCAGCGGCACCTGACTGCCAGAAGTTGGCACCTCCGAAGGTGGACCCTGTGCCGGCAGAAGCACCAACCTTACTGGGCCCCGACAAGCCCAAGCGCATGCCGCCGCTTGGGGTTCCGCTGCCGATGGAGCCCCAGCCGTCGTCACTGATGCAGGCCCGGAAGCAGGAGGTGTGCCTTCGATTCAGTGGACGGTCGGGGAATGTAGGTACTTCCGGGCTAGGAGTCAGGATGCACCGCCGATTCTTTAAGGGGCAAAGGACTCATGGTGAAGAGCTTCCGCATTGCGGCACAGTGCTGTGAAAGTTGTACTCGTTATTGAGGGTTTAGGTTAGGTTTCTGCTTATGTATTTGCATGTGGTGTGCTAAGTGCAGAAACAGGTTCATGGATATCTCACAGCAGCAGTTTGACTCTTTGACCAAGGTTAGCCTTACCTTAGCTTTAGGGCATTATCACAAGGAGGCCCAAAGAAGCAGGAGGCGATTCCTGAATCGGCCCGGTGGCTGAATACTTGGCGTTCGTTTGGTTGGGTCTTGGGACTTTGACTGTTTGGGGTTTCTATATGAACCATAACAAGGAGGCTAAAAGTTTAACTTTTAGGAGGGGTTCAGAAGTCAGCCAAGTGAAGCCCCTACAAAAAGGATCAAAAAGGGACCCTTATAGAACTACCCATGTAAGAACCGCTTTCCCATGAGGAAAGTTGCTCCTTAGAAATGGGGGTGCCTTTCTCTGTGCTTTTTGACAGACTCCAAGGGTCCGTGCAAGGACTGATTCATCGTTTGCTGGGAGTTTACTTTCTCACGATCGTAAAGAATCTCCGTCTTCTTCAGAGAAAATACTCTGTGGAATAACGATGATAGCTTGCATGTGTGAGCCAGACGCCTACATTGCACAAACATTGCAGGACACTGCGCGGTGTAGCTTTAGTGTCATAGATGCCTTAACCCCACACTCGTGTAGTTCGTCCCAGCCCGCCTTCTCTGGCACTTTGATCCGAAACCGAAACCAGAAGAAGCTCTCGACCCGAAGACAAAGCTCAAAGCGCGAGGTCCGTTATCGGCTGCAAGCTGAGGCAGCTTGGCATTACTTAGGCAACAGGCGTGCGCGTGGGAGGATCCACTCAGATTTCTTCATTCCTGGAAACCTTTCACGACCATTCATATCGCCAAGGTGGGCCAACAGGTTCCCATCTTCTACGAGTGCGCCGGTTGCACAGCCCATTTGGGAGTTAGGTTTCCAATTCCAAGCCCGGGCGGGTTTCTTTTTCAGGCCTTCCGAGCCCCAAAGTTCGCAGGCCTGAGGAAGGAATCTCCAAAGGGCCCTGTAGCTTGAGCTTTAGAG